AGAAGTCATGACCTAATACAACGTCTCCAATAAGATGGTCGAATACCGCAGCTCTGAATTGTACTTCTATGTCAAACCTGCGCTGTGAACTCAGCGTACTCATTAACTTACAAAGTTAGGCTATCAACCAATTGGACCATAATTGGTTCACCGTTTATTAGTTTACTGTGTGCTTCCTACAGTAAAAAAAAAGATCCGGTTAGTTGTTAATCAAGCAGGGTCAACACAACTTTTTTTGGAGACACTAGTTCAATGGCCGATAATGACACACTGTACTTCTTTGGTGCTCCGTTAGTTGTTGCCCTCCAACCGTTCTTGATTGGGTTAGAAAAGTTTGTATTATAGTATAGTATAGTTGCAGCTACCGACTAGCAACCATCATTTTGAAGATGGACTCTGCAATAAGTCCGAAACGTCAGAACTCAACTACAAACATGGATATATCCACAAACACTTCAAGCAACAAGACAATCCATGAAAGCCTTAACACATTCATAAGTTTGTATTAGCCAAAACAGAGGGTCTACTATTTACCCACAGAGGGAACTGTCCACCTAGTAGCCGCGCCAAGCAAGATAGCACTTGTTGACGGAGCTACTAGGTTTTGATAAAAAAAAAAAACAAATATTAATAAAAATGAGGGAAAGTAAAGAGAGAAAAAAAACAGACCATGTATAATATAATAACATTTTTTAATTATTGAAGATTTATAAATATCGTTATATATATTTATAAGGAAAGAATAAAAAAAGAAGAAAGAGGTGCTATATACACAACATTGTCAAAGGGTACAAAGGGGGGTTTTATTGTTACTTGTCGTTGATTGTTTCTTGAGGAGTGACGGCCCACCACCGGCCATAGTTGTGCCTCACATCACCATCATCATTGGCATCTCAACGTTTTATTTAAAAAAAAAAACGGAGGACAAAAAAAATACAGCCTGGTTGACATCACAAGTAGACGGCAGAACAACTCAACGTTTTATTTTAATAAAAAAACGGAGGACAAAAAAAATAAATGTACAAAAAAAACGTGGTTTTCACAACAAAAATATATAGAAAACACGACTTGTCGTCTCGGTAGTATGCTTGAGAAGAAAAATCCCGTTGTCACGGCATTTATAGTGACCGGTGATTGTGACGCCGGGTGAGGGTGGTGCCAACTTTGAACACGTTCATTGAGGGGAAATAACAATATTGGTACAGGTGAACAGTGTACGGTCAGCTGGTAACGATAGGATGACAGATATCAGACCAGTTGACTAGTGGAGGTTATCACATACACAACTTTTAAAATACTTTACACCTACTGCACACACATCTAATTGATAAGATTTATTAAACAAAAACTAGTATAAATTCTGCAACATTACACCTTGTAAGATGATTTCCACTAAGTTTTTCATTACGATTTAGGTTCTGGTCGGACGTTGAATGATAACCATATTCTTTAGGAAAAGTTTCTCCGATAACTAGATTAGCGGCTCGGACCCGGAGGTTATAAAGTGAATCTGTGTCAGATTTCCTTTGGTTCCGAGTGATACCAGGAATTATTATTAAAGGAATTATTTTCTTCAGAGTTTTACTAGGAAAGACTGCGGGACCTTTAATAACTCACCCATTATTAGGTCTCGTTCCTGGTCTTCCAGAGATTTGTTCGTTAAACCGGTTTCGGAGAGAGCTGTTTGTGTTTCTTGGTCAGGACTTTTTCTCCAGTATTTCTGAAACTTCTCTCTTTACATTTCTTTCGTTGACATTCCGTTTGTATATTTTTGTGATTCTCTAAAGCCTTTTTAGGTTTCTGGTCGAAAATTTCGGTACCGGGCTTGCGCTTACGGTGCTTTGATCGGACTTGTTTTTCTTGTCCATACGGTTTCCTGTTCTCGTCGTATTTTTTTCCGGAAAATCGCCTACCAGTGCCCAGTTCGGTTACAGTTTTTGCATTATGCTGCTCCGGACCGGCTTTTTTTTGGTTTAACAACCTCTTTCTCCAGTGGCAGTATTTTATTTGACTATTTGATCCAATCCCTTCTGCAGAAAAAACTTTGTATTTTCTTTGAGCCACCGTTCCAAAAAAAAGTACTCTACATCTAAGTCACTATCCAGATCTAGCAGATTTTCCATTGACCTCGGGTGTCTCACTCTTGCGTGGCCCGGTATTCCTTGCGCATGAGCCCTATGATTATGTTGACCAGCTCGTACTCTGTAAACCTTGAGTCAAGTCGACAGGCTAGCTGGCTTTTCCACATTACAAACTCACCAAGGAATTGTCGCTCGCTTTGCTAAGCACTGTGGAGATTATTGCGTACTTGAGGCAGTATTGAAATGCCATTGAATCTCATTAAAAATTGTTTCCACAATATTGTCTATGTGGGGTTCAAGCAGCGTATGGTAACGCCACTAGTTCTGCTTTTAACTGTGGAGCCAGTACACGTACTCAATTCTGGTGCAGTACGTTCGCTTTGATTAGAAGCGATTCAGCCTTTTCAATGAAAGCATTAAAATCGTCTTGTTTCTTACCGGAAAATTCCAACAGAGAATCACGCGCCAATGTAAAATAATCGTGGGATAGTAATGACGTTTCGTTAAAAGTAACGTATTGTTGCTACCTGGTCCTATTGTGCGGACGAAAAGGATTTTCGGGACGTAATATTTCCGGAACATTTTGAAAACACCCTCATTGGCAGGTAAAGGGTCAGATTTTCAAAAAAAATTACATCAAATAATAAGGAATTACATAATTTTTCAATATAAAGAAAAATTTTTCTGATGTTTTTTTTTTTATTAATGACAGTTTTAAGAAAAAAAATTTAAAAATTTAACGTTTTTAAAAACGCAATGTTTTGGGAGATTTACAGGGAACAAGTGAACTTTTTTTTAATTTTCAAGGATATTGTCTTCAACTAGATACGATTTGTGATCTTTTCGCGATTTCGCGTATTATAGAATACTCTTTTATCATACTATAGTAACAAAAATTATAATAGACTATAATAAATTAATTTCAATTTTATAAAAAAATAAATTCTTATTTCATTATTATAAAACATACCTCATGTCTGTAAAATAACATGGACTTATGTAAAATTAAAAAAATAAAAAATAAATAATATTAAATAAAAAAAATCAGAGGGTTTTTTTTAAGTACATTTAGAGATGGATTCGAATATTTTTCACGATAATCTTGTATAGTCTACAAATTAAAAATAAATAGTATTATTTATTATCAAAACTATTAACTAATGTTGTTTACCTACAGAAGAAATTGTTTTTGCTCTTCATTTTTTGTAATTTTATGATCAATTTCCTCAATAAGTTTAATCCCTCTTTCTGTTGCTTCGTTGACAACTTTAAGTTTTTTAATTTTTTCCTCGTCATATTTATAATTAGCTGAATTATTCCACGTGTTGGGATGAGTTTTTAAAAATCACTATTTATATTGAATCTTTTAATCATCTTTAGAGATTTTTTACTCAGCAGAAAGAGGGAT